TGTTTCTGTCCTCACTATTAATTTTTTGGTGTTTGTTTTTTTTTTTTTTTTTTTTTTTATTGTTGTCTTTGTCTAATTAAGTGGGAGACTGCAACCATGCCCACACAAAACAACCATACCAGCACTTTCGGCAGGCTCACCTCCTGAGTGAGGGTCATCACTTGCTTCTGCACAAACTGGCCAACAATACATGACAGTCACTTACTTAGCTATGCCAGGAGATTTGGAAGACAATTACCTAGCCAACTGACAGGAAAAGATCCATATTTGTACCCATCCCAAAGAAAAGTAATCCCATAGAATATGGAAATTATCGAACAATATCATTAATATCACATGCAAGTAAAATCTTACCGAAGATAATTCAAAAATGGTCACAGCAGTATATTGGCAGAGAACTTCCAGAAATGCAAGCTAGATTCAGAAGAGGATGTGGAATGAGGGATATCATTGCTGATGTCAGATGTAATGTGGCTCAAACAAAGAATACAGAAAGATGTTTGTGTTTTATTGACTATACAAAAGCATTAGATTGTGTGGATCATAACAAATTATGGATAACATTGAGAAGAATGGGAATTCCAGAACACTTAATTGTACTCATGAGAAACTTGTACATTGACTAGGAGGCTGTCGTTCAAACAGAAAGAGGGGGCACTACATGGTTTAAAATCAAGAAGGGAGTGTGTCAGGTTGTATCTTTCACCATACTCATTCAATCTCTATGCTGAACAAATAATCCAAGAAGCTGGATTATATGAAGAAAAACATGGCATCAGGATTGGAGAAAGACTCATGAACAACCTATGTTATGCAGACGACACAACATTGCTCACTGAAAGTGAGGATGGCTTGAAACAATTACTGATGAAGATTGAAGACTACAGTCCACAGTATGGATTACACCTCAATATTAAGAAAACAAAAATCCTCACAATGGCACCAATAAGCAGCATCAAGATAAATGGAGAAAAGATTGAAGTTGTCAAAGACTTCATATTACTCAATTCTACAATCAACACCAATGGAAGCAGCAGTCAAGATATCAGATGTCATATAGCATTGGGCAAATCTGATGCAAAGGACCTATTTCAAGTGCTGAAGAGCAAAGATGTTTCCCTGAAGACTAAGGTGCACTTGATACAAGCCATGGTATTTTCAATCACCTCATATACATGTGAGAACTAGACAATGAAAAAGAAAGAACAAAGAAGAGCCAATGCTTTTGAGTTGTGGTGTTGGCGAAGAATGCTGAAAGTACCATGGACTTCTAAAAGAACTAATAAATCTGTCCTGGAAGAAGTGTAGCTGGAATGCTCCTTGGAAGCAAGAATGGCAAAAGTCCATCTCACCTACTTTGGTCATGCTGTAAGAAGGACCATTCTCTGGAGAAATATATCATGCTTGGCAAAACAGAGAGACAACAAAAAAGGGGAAGGCCCTCAGTGAGATGTATTAACACAGTGGCTGCAACAATGGGCTCAGGTATAGCAAGTATCATGGGGCTGGCACAGGATTGGGCAGTGTTTTGTCCTGCTGTACATGGGGTCCCTATGAGTTGGAGATGACTCAAAAGCACCGAACAAAAACAACAACAACACAATGAACCCCAAACAGGATAGACTCCCCCCACCCCCAAAAAAAAAAAAAAAATCACCA